TTGTTGAGTGCGCAATGTATAACCCATAACAGCCTGATCGCCAAGCTTCCGTGGATATTGTGAAAATACCACCTTCTTCAGTGTGGTGTTAGGATTGGTAACCAAAGGCATAAGGCTTGTTCCTTCAGTGCATAGAATGGTTTTAGTTGAATCTTCGGGGCATGGTGGTAATGGGTTAAACCCAGCAGCCTCTACCAAGGTGGGAAACAAATCAACAAACTCTTGTCATCTGCTCTGTAATAATTCCACGGTCCGTTACCCCTGGAATATGAATCATCATCGGTGCATGGACAGCATTTTCAAAGTTAGTTTCTTTGCACCACTCTCCATGTTGACCCAACTTCCATCCATGATCACCCCAGAAAGACACGATAGTGGTGTTGGCTAGTCCCAAATTATTTAATTCCTGAATTATGCGAACCTCGAAATGCACGTGGATAGTAGAAAGAGAAAGGAAAAGGTCAAGTCTAAAACCTTGAACAGGAAACCCAAAGGCGTGAGAAGGTGTTAAGCTATATTCATTATTAATATGTATTATCACCCAATAATACATTCTACAGTAGATATCGCTTGTGTGATATATTTCATAATCTACTGCGATATCTTCTTAGGAGATATCGCTTTACCAATTTGATTACAGTTTATTTCTTTTTAAAAGAACCTTTTTTTTTTTATTAAAAATGAACTATTGTTATTCATTTGACCTCGATGGAAACACTGGGTCAATATAAAGGACTGTGCAATGGTGGAATTGCTGTCAAAAAATGATGTATAATTACGCCGTAATGTTCAGTAAAAGTGAAATCTACAGCAAAGAATTATATTTATCTATTTATGCATGTAAGAAGGGATTGGGTGATAAATAAAATCTCCTACTCGTTTTTTGTTACTTTATCAACTTGTGTTGATATTTTTTTGATATCAAAAACGACTGGTAGGAGATTCACTATGACAGTTTACTGTCTATTTAAGCAAACCCATCGTGATTCAGCTATAAATACGGTGTGGAATTGAGTTAATACGAACTATTTTGCTATTATTGACAATGTAAGCTAATTAATTTTCCATTTCAGCTGGCCTCAGATTTTCCAACTGATTTATGTTAGTTTTGGTCCTTAACTTGTATTGTGGCGCAGAACGATTTATACGTACGCACAGGTAGGAATGTATTACTTCAACGCTGCACTGAAAGTTCCATACTAGTAACATACTGGCACCACGCCATATTAACATTTTCATATATTAATTCTAATTCAGGTCAGTGAGTAGCTTACTGGCCAGGAGCAGCAGGCCTGAGTGTTGCCCTAGACGTTTCTCATGATTTTTGCAGTGTGGTTTCCCCATGTAGTGGTGGAACAGCAAACTAAGATACCATACACATTGGCGTACACATCCAAGAACCGTTGAAATTGGAATTCCCTGCCCAGAAATTATGGACTGGTAGGCTAGCCTGATGAGTCAGGATAAGCAATATGGTTATGAAATAATGGAGACCAGAATCGGTCAGTAGTTTTGGAAATCGCAATGAACAACGTAATCTGTCCACTAAAATATAAACCTTTTCAATTAGACCCTACAGTATTTTTTACTACAGAAAGCTATAACCCTCTAGTTCAGAGCCCGGTTCCTAGAAAATTCTTAAAGTAAGCACAAAGTCATGCTTCGCTTTTTCTTACGTAAGAAACTTATAAAAATACCGTCCCTCGAAAATTCCCAAGACCATTCTTACGAAGCACAAGTCAAGTATAAGTCTAAGCACATTGTGACTGGTAAAGTTTACCATAAACTGAGACTACGATGCTCTTTAACGTCATAAAAACAACTTTGGTATGCGAATTGCGTCTTTTGTCGTCTGCTTCATTGACGTCATATATATATATATATATATATATATATATATGGTTCATTTCGATGCATTTGACATGTCCCCTATTCACATATAAAATGTGCCACAAGATAACATACAAACTAACTGAATAATTGTGAGAGCGCCTTAGCCCGTGTGTTTGTAGTACATTGTTTACTAATTGGCAAATAAATAACATGGTTTCAGGGTAGGCCTAGAAGCTAAATTTTCTATAGTATTCTTAATTTGAAATTTCTTCTGGAGAAGGATTTTCTCTGTCTTATAATTATCTCTTTGGTATCAAAAGGTGTCGGAAATGCCGTCGAATAACTCTACGGTCAGCCATCTTTTTGAATCAGAAACAGACTTGAGGTTGGTAAGCAAGCCGTATACCTTGCTTGGGACTTGTGCTTAGATTGACTATGTTTAAGAACGAAGTTGTGCTTAATTTTTTTCTTGGAACGCATAATAACGTTCTTGTGCTTACAATGAAGTCTACTTAAAATCTAAGCACAAAAGCGTTCTTAAGAATTTTCTGGGAACACAAAATAAGGTAAGTTTACTTAAATGCAAAGTCTACTTAAATCTAAGCACAAGAGCGTGCCTAAGAATTATCTAGGAATCGGGCCCAGATGTGATTTAAGGCTACATTACAAACATACTTAAAATGAAACCGTATCTATAATTGTGTAATTTGCCAACAGATATAGATACAAGGCAAAAACTAATTATTTATTGAAGTAAAACAATTATTGAAAATCAATGTTACACAATTACTCTTCACTTTAAATGTCATCAAAGTTAGTCATCACCGCTGTCACTGCATGCATAAACATCAAATTTGGTCTTTTTAACAAGTCTTTTTGTTTCATTTTCACATTGACTACACTTACACATTTGTACGAAACAACCCGGATGTGGCTTCTCCTTGTCAGTGATACAGGATGGAAGGGACTGGAAAGGACATTGTGCAGTCGTTCGGACGAGAGAGAAAGCAATAGTTTAAACAATATTTGATTCAACAAACTGAATCGGATTGAACAGCAGGTAAGGAGCTATATTAAGTTCTCTCAAAACAGTATTTCTACTAAAATATCTGTAAACCTTTAGTTCAGATAAGTTCTGAGACGAAATTTCTAACAAATATTTGAATTAAAGCAAAGCATCTATAGATATGTGATTCAACAAACGGAATCGGATTGAACTTCACCCTAGAAATGTGGCCTGCAGGCCTAACGGGGGGATACATAGATGATATCTGGAACCAACTGGCAAGGGTAAATGTTCAACCCATTATGGGCGAGAAAATACACGGGTCATAATTCTATGGAATACATTAACGTTATTACTAAAGATACATTTAAAGCGTCAATACAAGACATACTACTTGGTTCGAATAGTCATTAATCTTTATTACTGTGCGATCTTTCTACTAGAAAGATACATTTAAAGCATCAATACAGACATGCTAATTGGTTCGCATGATCATTAATCAGCTTTTAATCCGCCTAACATGTGTATTTAAAGACACAATTTGAATTTTTCGCTTTAAGATACATGCTGAAAATTTCAGTCAAATAGATCCACCCGGAACCGAGTATTTCGCGATTGAATTTTGGGCCTACACTCGATCATTATTTCTAAAGTCGGTAGGATAAAAGAAACAGTCTCGATTATCCATTTTTTGATATAATCAGCAGGAAATAAAATGAAATGTTGTTTAATGGCACGTCAGCTCCAACCATATGGTGAATCTAACAAGACAAATTAAAACGATATCATATAAAAGAATTTATATATATAAACAAGCCAACAGTGAGGCTGATGTCCCCCGCCGAAATAGGAAAATAATTAGAGAGTTATTGTGTTCCAAAGTCTCAGCAAATCAAATTGCTTATCGCTCTGCTTAATCTGAGCAGAAAATGCTCATTATCGATCTTAGTCAAGGTATTACTGTAATGAAACTATACACCAAGTTTCATCACTCTCACTTAATTAGAACTAAAGTTATAGTGTCCCAAAGCATCAACCAATCAAATTGTTTATCTCTGCTTACCCTAAGCGGAACGGACAGACAAACAGACAGACGGACGAACCCATTTTAATAGTTCCCTGCTTTCTTCGAAAGGCGGGGGACAGTAAGCATGAACATTTACTCAATTCGAAGATCAACCAATCAAATTGTTTATCTCTGCTTACCATAAGCGGAACGGACAGACAGACAAACAGACAGACGGACGAACCCATTTTAATAGTTCCCTGCTTTCTTCGAAAGGCGGGGGACAATCAAAGTAGGAGAGTTATTGTTTTCCAAAGTCTCGACCAATCAAATTGCGTATCGCTCTGCTTACCCTGAGCAGAAAATGCTCATTATCAAACTTAGTCAAGGTATTACTGTAATGAAACTATACACCAAGTTTCATCAATCTCACTTAATTAGAACTAAAGTTATCGTGTCCCAAAGCATCAACCAATCAAATTGCTTATCTCTGCTTACCCTAAGCTGAAAATGCTCATCTTCGAACTCCATCAAGGCATTGACCTAATCAACACATACACCAAGTTTGAACATTCTAGCTCAATTAGGAAGAGAGTTATCGTGCCCCAAAGTATCAACCAATCAAATTGCTTATCTCTGCTTACCCTAAGCGGAAAATGCTCATCTTCGAACTCCATCAAGGCATTGACCTAATAAACACATACACCAAGTTTGAACATTCTAGCTCAATTAAAAGTTATCGTGTCCCAAAGCATCAACCAATCAAATTGCTTAACTCTGCTTACCCTAAGCGGAAAATGCTTATCTTCGAACTCCATCAAGGCATTGACCTAATCAACACATACACCAAGTTTGAACATTCTAGCCCAATTAGGAAGAGAGTTATCGTGTCCCAAAGCATCAACCAATCAAATTGCTTATCTCTGCTTACCCTAAGCGGAAAATGCTCATCTTCGAACTCCATCAAGGCATTGACCTAATAAACACATACACCAAGTTTGAACATTCTAGCTCAATTAGGAAGAGAGTTATTGTGTCCCAAAAAGTGTGACGGACAGACAGAAGGACAGACAGACGGACAGACAGACAGACAGACAGACGGACGAACCCATTTTAATAGTCCCCTGCTTTCTTCGAAAGGCGGGGGACAATAAAAACAAATATGCAGTAAATATCGCATCGAGAGTTGATTATGGTCTGGATAAGTTAATTAATGTCTAATTAATAATTTAGATAAAATTTCAAGCCCAAAGAAAGCCCTGCAATTGGCAGATTTAGCTCTTGCATAATGTATGTTTAAACATCAAGATTTCTAATGTCCTAATCAATGATAATATGTACAGAGGTTGATTATTTAATATATGATTAGGAGAACAAAATCAAAATACTAACGCTAGATAATGCCCCGGCTTGGATTGTTTTAATATATGAGTAAGAGAACAATGGCAAAATACTAACGCTAGATTATGTCCCGGGTTGGATTCGATTTAAAACAGGCATGCCAATAAATGTCAAGAGGACAACAAAATGACGGCGGGCTTATTACATATCGAGGCAGCACACAACAAAATTGATCCATTTTAAGACTGTAGGGTCTATAAGAGAATCATCTTTTACAATATTGTTTCCTATACCGCTAAAATGGCGTATTGAAACATTAAACAGTACTTTAACTTGGTTTAAACTGCATGATAACTATTATATAGGAGATCAACGTCCCGAACACCTGAAACGATACCATTATAAAACATCAAACTCTGGTAAAATACAAAGTCTATCGAACAAGTTCCAAATCGAGTAATTGGAGCTATAGGACAAAATTTAAACAATGAACTAAAAACAATTTGCGGTACATTTATTCACGTTTTACCAATGAGGCAAAGATTGTCCGTTGATTTATTTATACAAACCTGAAGTTTAAATATTGAACCACATGACCAAGTCCAATTAACATACAATTAGTTGGCAAGCCTCAAAATCTAGGCGTTACTCTAAGTCAATATTCAAAATCGATTCGAACTCGCATGATATATTGTGACACGGATGAAAATGTTAAGGTGATTATTATATCAAATCAGGATCCGCAGTGTCCAAAATGATCCCTTGAGAGTTGAAACGACACAATTCTATCGCTCATTTTGCACAGATAATCATTTAAGTAAATATCACATTTTAGTCTCGGAATGATATAAGTAATCTGTCCATTTTATGTTCAACACCATTCAATTCTATTGTTTATAAATATTTTTTCAATTAATTGTTAAATTCATCTTACCGTTACCATGGTAGTTTTATCGAGAATAAATAATTTCATGAAAGTCAGACCGACATCTCCACTTCTCATGTTTTCTATAAACAAGGTGACCTGAAATTGGATGTAATTAGGTTAAACACCGATTGATCAACGTTATCCTTTTTCTGTAAGTTGTTCACAAGATTGCATAAAATCGTGTTACAAACTGTAGCAATTATCATGTTTACGTGGTTAAATGAAAAGGGGGAAGTAACTCTGATACAGAGGGACATACAACACCTCTATTGCATTTTTGGTAATAAGAACCATCAACAACTTTAACCTCTTGGGTTCACAAAACAGTTACTGACCGACTTATCTCCCTATTTTTCATACAGTCTAATTCGAGCAATCAAGATGCAACTACACATGTAAAAACTTGTTTTGCCTCCAACGATCTCCAAAGCGCTAGACTTTTGTAGACTTAATTAGTGTTGATACCTACCAGAGAAATTGTTTCCTGATTCATTTTTCTCCCATCCAAATATTTCGTCGTCTCTAAACACAGTTTTGTCTGTAAAACAAAATATAAATGAACCAGAATATATTTTGTTTATATTAGATGGGAGGTGTAGGTGTATTAAAATACAAGACTATTAAAGATGTATAAATTTATCATCGACATTTTTATCAACTGTTTCCGCTACATGCTAACAGAGACTTTAGATATTGTATTTTAACGGAGACAAACCAGGAGGCCTGGTCAATCTCTTTTAGTTTTCAACTTATTAAGACCAATAAATGATTGTGAATATTCAGATACCGGTTTTACTTTGGTGGGATATACCTCTGAGTAATCAACCTACGGTAATTTATTAATACTAGTATACAGACTGGAGACCATAATAAAACACCCCTCACATATTTATTTTATTTTTAGGAACTTGAAGGTACTTACACTTTCATTTAATGCTACTCCAAATTTTAAAACTAACAGCATTTCCGACGTAGCAAAAACAGCATTCCAACCCAGACAAGGAAGATTACAAGACTGGTATTACCGTAGGCTAGAGCATGTATATACAAACACACTCCTGTAAAGGATACACCAATTTCTAGTACTACATATGGATTCAGGAAATCGTCTACTTGTTCTGCGAATTTGGTAATAGCGAAGTATCGTTTTCGTATCATCTCGACCTTCTCAGTAGTTTGATCTGAATCCAACATTTTCCTGAACCCGGTGTTGCATGCAGTGAACTCTATCGTAACAATTTTACACAGTACGCCTATTGTCAGGATAATAATAAATTTATGTCCAAAGAAAAGGGCAGCAGCAGGGAAGATATTCACAATGTTAATCCAGTAATACCACGAACCAGCCCTCACAGGTGACATGAGACATATATAATCGTTCGTGAAAGCAGGAGTGAAAAAAATCTGAGAAAACATCACCATGAAACAGGCTACCACAATAATAATCACCATACCTTTGGTAAATTTTCTTATGTTTTCATAAGACACATCAAATTGAGGATCAGATCGGAGTTCATCACATGCTTTAACTAACAAATATAGTTTTGAAGGAACGTATATCATTCCATACAATATTACGATTACTAACATAATGTACGAAAGCATCAACCCAGTGTAGATAGCAATATTTTTATGATCCATAACTGTCTCTGCTCCAACTAAACACCACGCTATGTTGACTACAAGTACCAACATACTATTTATAGAAACCACACTAACTAACGCCTGAACAATCGTCTTTACGCTGAATCCATTTAAACCCAGGCATGTTAAAATTAGAATCAACGGTTTTAGGGACTTGTAGGTCAGAGATCCATCAACATCCAAATTTTTCATGTTAACCTGCTTTAGTTTTGCAATCGGTCTCTGTTAGTATGATCTCCGACAGCCACTGATTCTCTTTCTAAAAAATACATCACCGCAAATCAGAAGAACAAAGGCCTTTTCATACAAAGAATAATGCACTTTATTTGCCACACTAAGTGGAAAATATGAAAGCTGGAATGTTGTATGTTTTGTCACTGTTTTTGATAATTAAGATAAAAGGTTTCATTTGATTTAACAACAGATTAGGATATATAATCAATATTAATCTAATGTGTGTTATCCATATCGTGATTAAAGCTAAATATATTGTATAGAATTGAGTTAATACGAACTATTTCACTATCATTGACATTGTAAGCTTTCCATTTCAGTTGGTCATTGATCTTTATGTTAGTTTTAGTCCCTATAACTTGTATTTTGGTGCAAAACTCTTTATACCACACAGATAGGAATGTATTACTTCGACGAAGGTATGAGCTGGACTATTTAATAGTACATCTATCTACATCTTACATCACTGGAACACATATCTGCTGAAAGTCAACATTTCGAACATCGAATGTTATTAGACAGCAGACTGATATTATGGAAATTTAATGGAGGCGGGCCAATATTAATTTCCTCCATTGACTTCAATGTAATAATTCTGGTCCCTTTGCCCGGCTCCTACTTTTCCCTATATTTTCATTAGCCTCAGCACTTTCTACTACCTGTCTTTAGCCCAAACGTTTATATGAGGTTGATCACCGAGATTTTGCGACGTAACCAACCTCTTAACAATATTTATATTCCGACTCAAACCCACGACTATTTACCATGAATGCCAATTCGAAACCTCTTATTTGATTTTAAACCACAAAATAAACTAAATGGACTGAGAGAGCAAGGGCGAGAGAGAGACAAGTATTGGAGGGAACTGCAGTCGTTACAAATAGCGAAATGGGTAAATTTGGTAACGGTCTTTATCCTAATAGTACATTAACGTCTCGGCCAAATGTATTGTAACTGGTGATACGAGATTTTATAAGAATCAAAACATTTATCAACCAGCTAGCAAATATACACTTCTCTAGGTAATAAGTCGACATGTACAAAGCAATTTAAAGCGTATTACAAACATCCAATAGAGCAGGCATTACTAAATAAATTAGTGAGATGAAACGATTTTACATAGGAACCTATGGAATACAAGTAGTGTTTATTGATTAGAATTTTGAGCTGTGTATTTCTAGTTCTATTACTAAATGCCTATGAAACAATTTAATCTTACAATTTTGATACACCCTCATGTTCATATGGAAGTAAATTGTCGTCGACCCTGTCCGTGGACACTATCACAATTTTTTATCCGATTTTGATGAAACTTGGAATATAGGTTTGTTTATACCCCAAAGATCTCGGCGACTTTTGATATTGACATGTATTTGAAAATAACTTCATGGATTATGGCCCCTGACTATGAACCACCGGCTGCCGAGCAGGATACACCCACATTAAGCAAGAGATGGATAGAGAACAAGCTAAAAAGAAGTATTGCATACTTTTACACAATTTTCGTACAAAGAGCGGCCATGTTGTCGGGCAGTTTCATTTCGATTATCCCTCGTGCGTCCATCTGTTTTTTCTTACTAATTAGTGGATGTTTACAGGGGAGCCCGCCAACAAACAATATCACCCGAAAATGTATTGTGAAAAAGTACCCAATTCGTGATTTTACCCCCCCCCCCCCCCAAAAAAAAAAAACAACAACAAAAAACAAACGTTTCAGTGTACAAGAAAATCCTAAACTTATGTATTATGAACATATAAATTAATGCTTTTGGTGACACTCTTTCATGGTGTTACCTGGTCCCTTAAAGCGGTGACAATAAGTAAATCCCAAGATGGACAACATTCATCAAAACAATGTACAGGAAAATGTTTAACTTTTGGTTTAAAAACATACAAGTGTAATATGAACATTAATGTTTTTGGTGTCATTCTTTCATCCTGTGTTAACTGGTCCCTTAAAGCGATAAAAAGTGGTAAATTCCAAGAAGGCTGACATTTGCCTAACCAAGTACACGAAAAAATCGGGAGTTGATTATGGTCTTGATAAGTTAATTAATGTCTAATTCGTAATTTAGATAACATTTAAGGCCCAAAGAAAGGGTTGGAAGGGCCTAGGGGTATAGTGTCAAGCTTCGACCTCTAGCTGACCGGTCACCTGATGTGAGCGTATGTGGCTTGGAAATATGAGCGCCTTCTCAACCTCGTGGTTTTACTACTACGCGTACTCCCGTTTCCTCCCCCACAGGAAAGACCCCTGCGGGTACGCTGAGATAATAAACATGGAAGCGGACGTTAAACACTAAGTACAAAAACAACCTGCAATAGGCAAATTTAGCTATTGCATTTAATGCATGTTTAACACAAATTGATTAATTGAAAATTTGCTAAAATAACTGAAAGAAGAAAACCATATCTCTGAATCTCTCTATTACGAGTTCAGATCAAACCACCCTCGGATACCTTATGCCAGGGCTACTATAAAAAATCCTCCAAACCCACATAAAAGGCCGCTTGTTGATGTGTTTCCGAGATTCAGTCTTCTACAACACAATCCACTACGTACCACACCTACTTTTCTCACTTGGCACAATAACACCGTTCTTCATTAAAGATTTGGGTGAATTCTGTGAGAAATTGCAGAATATTCAAAACCCCGGGAAGATGGTCTCATATGATGTTGTTGATTTGTTTACAAATGTACCTAAGGAGGAGTCTCAAGATTCTACCCAAGCGCATTGATAGCTTAGACAAACCACTGGCGACCTCCCTACAGAAATTAAATGAAATGAAATGAAATGGGGTTTAACGTCCTACTGTTCTGTTCCGAACTGGGCTAATGAAGACGGGCATACGCCATGCAATGTGCTATGAGGGCAATTTTGCCCGAACCTCGGCACTACAGCCTACTCTTATATCGAATTCCAACTGCCAAGGGATCTTTTACGTGCATTCTAATGTATACACGGGACTTCGGTTTTTCGTCGCATCCGAAGGACTAGACAGCTGTCCTTGTCAGGCATCACTGACAAGGGGGAACCATACGCCGGAAAATCTCGATGAACTTTCTCGGCCAATGCAGGGATCTAACACCCGACCTCCAGGCTAGCGAGCCAGCGTCTTACCCACTTAGCCATTTAAAGGAAGGGCTATATAAATTAAAAGCTCCATACTAGTAACATAATGGCTCTACGCCATATTAACATTTGCATATATTAATTCCAATTTGGGCTAACTTTTTCATAGCCACAGTGGTTCAGTAAGTAACCAACCGGCTTACTAACCAGGAGCAGGGGGCCTGGGTGTTCTCCTAGAAGTTTCTTGTGATATTTCAGTGTGGATTTGCCTTGTAGTTGTGGGGCAGCAAACCAAGATACCGTCTCCACATTGGCGTACACGTAAATGAACCCTAGGAGTTAGAATTCCTTACCCAGATATTAGGGGATGGGTGGCTAGTCCGATGAGCCAGGAGATGTGTTTGATATTGGTTAATCAATATGATTATGAAATAAGGGACACCACGTGATCTTTTCCGCACTAAAATATATATCCACACCCCCTTTCAATTAGACCCTAAACTCCTCTTACCACAGATAGGTATACACCTCCAGTTCAGATATGATTAAAGGCCACATTACAAACATATTTAAAATGAAACCGGATCTATAGTTGTGTAATTTGCTAACAAATATAGATATTAGGCAAACACTAATTATTTATTGAATTAAAACAATTATTGAAAATCATAATTAAAAAAATTATTGAAAATCATAATTACATTGACTACACTTAACAGATATGTACAAAACAACCCCGGTGCGGCTTCCCCTTGTCAGTGATACAGGATTTGGAGGGGGGGGGGCTGGACAGGACAGTGTCCATTCGTTCGGATGGGAGAGAAAGCAATAGTCTAAACAATATTTGATTCACCAAAATGAATCGGATTGAACAGCAGGTAAGGAGCTATATAAGTTCTCTCAAACGGTATTTCTACTAGAATATCTGTAAACATTTAGTTCAGATAAGATTTGAAGCTCAATTCCTAACAAATATTTGAATTAAAGCAAAGCATCTATAAATATGTAATGTTCTCACTAAATTAGATAGTGAGGCAAATAGATGTATAGCAAAAACTAAATAATACTGTAAAGTAGTGGCAGTTGTAATGAAGAGAAAAAGAGTCAAATGGAGTTTAATACCTAGCTGTTGCGCAGTATCAACCGGGTTAATGAAGATGTACATACGCCATGCATTATTCTACAGGGGGAATCTGACCCAGTGACGTTACGGTCTACTCTTTATTTCGAATTCTAGCTGTGATTAGTTCTCTTGCGTGAACGTCAATGTGTACACGGGACCTCAGTTGTATAGCCCATCCCTCCCTTCCAGCACCACTGACAATGGAAACGACGCTGGAATATTTTTTGGAGGTCAAACCCTAGACCTGATTAGTGAGCCAGAGTCTTACTCTTTGAGCCTTACGTGCTGTACCAAACCCTTGGCCACCTGCTAACGGAGTCAGACCCTTACCTGTTTCGGCGGCCCCCTTACAATATTGTCACTTCCATTAGTGTATTATTTAGTTTTGGCCATACCTGTTTTAGTGAGACAACTAAATATCTATAGATGCTTTGTTTCAATTTAAATATTTGTTAGAACTTTAGCCTGGAATATTAACTGTAGAAAAGGTTTACAGATATTATAGAAGATATAATTTTTGGGTCATTGTCTGTTTTTAAATCCTATTCAGTTTATCGAATAAATTGTTTAAACAAAATACTGTTATGCTAAATACTGAATTTGAGGATATTTGATATCACACTGTCAGAAACATGGATTGGTAAAAATGTGATGATCCGAAATTTCTGTAACTAGTAATAGTATTACGTTTTCTTGTATATCTGGCTTTAAATTTAATTACGGTTTCTTTTGGTTTCCAAAATTATCTCTTTCGCTTTTTGTGTCTCGCATTGCCTACAGCTTCGTCAGTTATTTATATCTAA